AGTTTGATGCCCAACAGTCTTTCAAAGCACGGTGTTCATCCTGATTGGTGGTAGTTTGGGGTCAGATCAGTGATGTTGGAATGTAACTAGCTTAGTCTTCAAGGTATTGAATGTAACCAGCCAGTTTTTACCCCATTGGGTATTTTTTGCAAGATCAGAAGAGAGATCAGTCACCAATATCTGACCATTTTAAGTTTCAGAGGTATACAGTCATATCATTGGCATTTATGTTTACAAATGATCTGAGTATATTCTTAAGCAGAAATTATACTTATTCTGGATTTTAACAGCTTAATATAAAGTTTCATTTTCTTTTCTGTAAACTCCAGACAATCATCTTAAATTAAAGCATATGAAAGTTCATTTTTCATTTAGTTTTATAGAGTATCTCTTTCCTTTATGTCTCTAGATGACACAACAAAAATTTATACACTCAAATGTACTCACACAGAGGGAAAATGTTTTTACTCATAAATTTTTTTTTTTTTAAATGCATCTATTTTCAATTCTAGAAACTTTTTTCTGCAATCTGTAGATACAAATATCCAGTCATTAAATGTTTCATACTGTAGCTACAAACTTAACATTCCATACAATATATAAAATTTTTGTTATTGTCCAGTAATAAAATTAGTTCAATTTTTATTTTAAGCAGATGCATTTGGCTTTAAATCACTTCAATGCAGGTACCTCCAAAAACAAACAAAAAAAATAAATAAATAAAAAGGCTATACCCAAGTTTAAAAAATGCATTTTACAAAATGAAATTCCAAGCTATTTAATATTCCCAATAAGCATAATACATTAGTGCATTTCAAACTGAATTTAAATTTTGATTGCAAACATTTCTTCCTCATTATCAATCAGTAAAAGCTATAAATTCGTCAACACCAAATAATTCTCTTTATTAAAAAAAAAAAAATAAAAAAAAAAAAAAAAAAAAATAAAAAAAAAAAAAAAAAAAAAATAAATAAATAAAAAAAAAAAAAAAATATACGTTTCCGAAAACTTATTTGCAAAAGAATTAGTGAATTTAAAGTTTAACCTGAATTGAAACAAATATTACTTTCAGTTTCAAACAATGAACAAAAAAGCAACTTTTTTTTAACATAGAGAAGGTGTTTTTTGATGTGTTAATTGATTTTTTTATTGATATAGACTGATGTTTGGGAAATTTAAATTAAGGGGGCATAATTTAAAAATTGAGGAATACATGAACGCTTTAACTACCTACTAAAACATTTAAAAGAATTATTTCAAGCAATATTTTATTGAATTTTTGATACGTTGGCTTTATAATAATATTTACTTATAAAGACGCTTGTTAAGAAAGCGTTAGAAAATTGTAAATAAATTTACTAGGTAGTTCTGTTATTTTCAGATTATGTCGTGTATTGACCTCCATATTTATAAAAATAGACATGATACATAAAAAATTAAATCTTTGGGCTTTAAATTGTAGCGTGCTTTTCCTTTTGTTATACAGCTTTAATAACAAAATCACTTTGATGCTACAAATTAATACAGAATTTTTTAAAAAGTTTTAAAAAATGTTTATAAAAATAAAAAAGGAAAACATTACATGTGAAAATTAATTATTCAGCACAAAAAATTCTTAAGACAATAGAAGGCCAAGAATTTTCTTCTTTTCATAAAAAAAAGTAATTAAAAGCTTTTCTAATTAAATAATGTTTTTTTTTTAGTTTTATTTATTTTTTGAATCAACGGGTAAAATTAGTATGGGAAATTTGAGCGCCTTTTTTCTTTTAAAAAACCTTTAATAAAAAATGCAATGAACTACTAGAGAAGTGTTACTGTTAAGATTTTTTCCGTTATAAAAAAAAAAAAAAAAAAAAAAGACAAATTTTTATTTTAACACCCGAGCACTAATATCCCTTCAAATTTTTCCAAAATAGTTTTATTTCCGTGCAAATGTATATGCTGAATTCAAATCAACAATTGAAGAAACCTACCTTTTTGGATGTTAACGACCCGAAAAAAATCGTACTTTTTCCTGGTCTTTCATCAGCCATTACCGGCTTATTGATAAGTAATCCAGTGCTGAATTTTGTTAGTGGACGTATACAATTTGGGCCTATTTACTTCCTTCATAGTAATTCCTTGTAGAATTAGTACGCGCTTCCGTAAAGCGATTTTTTTTTTCTTAATTTAAGAAGAAAGTAAACTTTCAAATATATGTAAACATCGACAAATAAAATAATAACAAAGTAATTTTTTTTTAAGAAGAAAGTTAACTTTCAAATTAGGGTTAGGTGTCTTTTTTCTTTTGTTATTCTTTTATATTTGTCGATGTTTACATATATTTGAAAGTTAACTTTCTTCTTAAATTAAGTACAAAAAATCGCTTTACGGAAGCGCGTACTAACTTCTGAAAGAAAATAGTTCAGCAGTGAATGACGCTCGGGTGTTAAAATATAAAAATTTACCAAAAAAAAAAAAAAAATAAATAAATAAATAAAAAAAATAAAAAAAAATTAATAAATTGATTTAAATTCTCTAAGAACTTGTGCTTTAGCGAAATTTAAAATTAATGAGAGAAAGTGTGTGTGTTGGGGGGTAACATACACACTACTACACATACATTTTTGAAGGTATTTTCTAAAGAGGAAACACTTAAAAAATAATTTTATTAATTTGTGAATAAGTTCTGAATGTTTCATTAAAATCCGACAATGATTTTTGTAAGAATTTCCAAATCAACGTGTTTCTCACCAACAAAAGGACGCTCATGTTTACAGTACAAATTTATGGTCCGTCGTCGACCAAAGTTGTTTTTCACTATTGACAAAGTTCTAAAAAGGATAAAATAATTATTTAATAATTATTTTAAAAAAGGATACATCAAAAAGGATTTTTGATGTAATAATTATTATTACATCAAAAATCCTTTCATCTTTCCTAACATTTAAATTAAAAACAAGATCGTTGGTGATAAAATTTTGTTTTTATTTATTTTTGGCACTTTCAGCGAATTTTTGGAAGTACCTACTTTCAATGAATTCATACTTCATTCATTTTCTCAAAAAAATTTTTCTGTAATAATGAATCTATATATGTTGGAAAGTGAGGTTTGATTTGAAAAAACAAAAAGGGCGTGATGACCAAATGCAAGACTGACAAAAAACTAAATCAAAATCATCATGGATAATATAATAATGAAAAAACATGAATTAAAAAAAAAAAAAAAAAAAGTAAAAGAAAAAGTGATGAATCCATTGGAAATCAATAGAAAAAAAATGTCAGTGCACCAGGAATCAATGTAAATTGTAATAAATGTTATTGTCAAAGAGGATTTTTATTGTCTAATAATTTGAGGCTTTTTGACGATACAAATATTAGAACTTCTCTCTAAAGTAAAGAAAAAAAGTTCAGTCATTAAAAGCAGAAACTTATGTGCAAATGTGACAGAGAAAAAGAAAGTAAATAATAATAAACAACTAATGTAAGAAAAGAAGTCTATCTGCGTTATTGTAAAAGTTTCTGCGTGAACATTATTGAAATCATGAATGACCAGCCGGGAATGCGGACATAAAACAATTTACATACATAGAAGATTAGGCGGGCAATTATTTTCTCCTTCCCTCAACTATTGTATTAATAAATACTAATTGTCAGAGTCAAGGAAATATGGCTGGTTTGGTGGTCCGATTATCTATCGACCCTGGAAATGGAGAGAAAAAGAAACAGACGAAGCTTACGACGTGTGTCGAGCACGTATCAGTAAAAAATTCACATGTTGAAAGAGTTTAAAAACATAGTTTTATCGATCAGTTAACAACTTAACAAGTCATATGGTGGATTATGGAGTGGGAACTTTCAATACAGGCACTGAGCATTTTTAAAAAGTATTCATATTGTAATTAATTCGCAGTTCCAAACGTTACGAATTTAAATTTTTTGTGCAAAAACAAAAAAAATTAATAATTCCGGGATCGGGATTCCTTGGTAGAATAAATCTTAAAAATAGGATTCGAATGTTAATTTAAATTTAAAATCAATTATGTTAGTTAGCTTTAGTACCATGAATAGGTCAGAGTTTTTTTTCTTCTCTATTACTATCCAGTTCATGTTCATTTCTTTCTTTACACCATTGTCAATAGAAAAGATATTATGACGCGGGGAATACAATGATAAAGCTATTTTTAATAAAAGAAAAACAGTTTTAAAAAAGTTTTAATTCCTGAGATGGTACCTTTACCAACATGTTTTTTTTTTACTGAATTTTTAATTTAATATTTTACATTACAAGGTTTCGTGAACAAATCCTTTTCCAAGCTGCTCTGAAAAATGATTGTCAACTCTAAAAGACGTTTCCAAGAATTTCGTTTAGTGCTTATAGAAAAAATTGTTTGCCAATTTATCAAGAACTGATTTAAAAAAATAACTTTTCAAGACAATCGGCTAACTAAATATTGACCTACTAGAATTAGAGGTTATATAAATTACGTAGAAAAAAAAAAAAAAAATGGAGCATTAGGTTTTTGGTTTGGGAGAAATACTCACAGACACCCTGAAGCAAAGTGGAGACTAGAGTGACATTAGAAATATAAAAATGTATATTATTTATAAATCAAATGAGAAGATAATTTAATTTTTTTTTTTTTTTTTTTTGTAACTGGGTTAAACAAAAAAGTTGATAGAACGCATTTCGAGTTATCTAATTAAAGTTTTAACTTTTTAAAACAATGGGAGACAAAATGAGAACTTAAAACGTTCCGATTATTTTGAAAATTTAATTTTTTTTCCAGAAGTTATTCTGCGACGATAAGCAAATGTTAGGTCGAATAAAATTGAAATTTATTTATTTATCACCTCAAAAACTAAAGAAAAAATTAAATAAGTCAATTATTATACACTTTCACTTTAACATTTTTTGCACCAACAAAAATGAATATATATAACTTTTGCTTTCAGTTAAGAAATAAAGTGAAAGTCTAAAATAAAATGGCCAGCCGAAGAACTACGTTTTCTTCTCTTACCTTGAGCCTCCAGGAATGAACGACTGAACTTTTTAATTCTTCTGTCGACACCTTCGTGGCATGAATCCGACTTGTAATGGGCGAATTCGGTTGCACTTGAATATTCCGTAAAGGTGTCACTATCCAAACTATCGCGATGACTTTCATACCAACGCTGGTAAATTTCAAATAAAAGATCGTCAAAGATAGACCCCCGATGTTGGTGGTGTCTGTAATAGGAGGTCCCTACAGAGGCACATGCATGTGACATAGCCGAATTCAAGTTAGTAGACGTGGCCAATTCCATTGGAAACTCATCGTCACAGTTTTTAAAAAGTTCTCCGTCCGCCACCAGAGTGGCGGCGCTATGGACCAACTGGGCCCTTGTCGAAGGGTCCCTCATAGAAGGACCGCCTGTGTACAAAGTCCCCGCTCCGGGTTCGTTCCAAGATAACTTGCTCTGAACAGCGAACTGCTCATGATAAAAACTTTTTTTCTCAGTCTTCGGGTGAGTTTCACCCCCGCCACCACTTTTTGCTGGTGGCGGGGGCCCCATCAAGAAAACGTCATCGTCTGAATCCAAGCATATTGGATTTGATTGCTGTGGTGACTTGTTGCCACTTCTACTATTTACAAGTACTGGCCAAGCTTGTAACTCTGACATCTTGCCATGTTGGCTGTCCCGTGTGTGTATAACATACAAGTGGTTGCTAACAAAAAAAAAAACCTCCTATGATTACTAATACTATGACTACTTCTAACAAAAAGAGAGAGGTGCTACAAATGACTAGCACCTGCACCAGCTGTCACTTACCCACAAGTTTCCTTTCCGCTATCACTACTACAATTTTTACCGCTACTACAATTATGACTAGCTAGCACGAACACCGATTTACTCGAATAGTGGTGGACTGGATTGGATAGTCGGGGTGATTTGGCCTACAAAAAGTTATAGCGAAAAATAAATAGCGGAGTGTAAATGCAATCAACTTTGATTTCAAACAATATTCGATAACTATTTTTTTAAATGTCTTTAATTCGAAATTCGACTGTAAAGAAATAAAACATTTTGTTAATCGTCTTTTATTATTGGTGTTTAGCAGGACGCCAGCTGGGAAAAGTACCTGCGTCGACGCCAACTTGCTGTCGTCTGCTGTTGACCTAGTCCAACGTGTTGTTAAGAAGATACAAACAGACCACCTAATGATGTCATAAAGCAAGACTCGGCACCCAACACTTTATCTACATAAGTAACTATTCATGTCGCCCTTCTATGACTTTTTTGCTTTTTAAAATTCTAATTGCAAATTAATAAAGTGCCGCTTTAAACCGGGGTAGAGAGAGTGTGACCTAACTACAATTTGATTAAAAATAAAATAAAAAACCCATGAATAATGTGCGCTGAATTCGATTCTTGCTCGATGCCTCACACTTGTGCCACACAAAGACACGCTTAGTATCGAAAATTGAAACCATTTCGAAAGGTATTTTATTCAAGAAAGTAGTTCCTTCTCTTTTGGTAGAAGTTGTTTAAAAAAAATAAAAAAGAATGCATTTAACTAAGTGTGGGTTAAAAAAACCTAAAAAGTGTTTAGTTTACATAGGTACCTCTATTTATTTCGCGAAAATCTAATATAGCATGACAAGAACGGTCTGAAAATTAACGAAAAAAATTTTTTTCATGATAAAAGTATATTTCATTATTGAGAAGAAACACTAAAGTATTTTTTGAGTATTTTTTGAAATTTTACACGACCGTTTTTATTTGTTTAATGGCTAAAAAAAAGTGTTTTCATGATTAAGTCTTCTGATGACTGAAATAATTTATTTTTAAGTTTGAAGAATGAAAAAATGTCGTGACATTTTTTTAATAAGAGATACTTTTTTTTCATTTCACCTTTTAACTTTTAGCCAAGACGGCGTTACCTGTCTTAATTGGAGATTTAGCTTCTTAAAGTATCGAAAAAGTGGGGATGTGAATGTCAAACAAAAAAGTGACCAATATCTATTGGAAAATTTGGAAGTTGTATATAAAATATGTAAAACAGAGTCTTAAAAAATTAGAATACTGACTCTGACGCTGTGAGTTGGTGTTAACTGAAGTGAAAATAAATATTCACCAAGAAAAATAAACAAAGAGAGAGAGAGACAGAGAGCTGTACTTAATGAAAATTATAATTATAATGACGAACGAAATACCCTTTTCACAGCAAAGACATTTTATTTTAAGTAAGGGATTGTTTTTCATAATTGAGTTAGTTAAGCAATCGTTAAAGATTTTCTCGGATGCAATTAAGTTTCACAAAGTTAAAGACAAAGATGGATGCATTTGAAGAAGAGAAGCAACTCAACGACTGTATTAAATTCAAATTCAATCCCGATAAACTTTGACCTCCCCCATGCACCAACATTGGTTTGTGTTATAAAATAAAATGACATATCTCGGCTGATTTACAGGCAAATACTCAAGAGTGAGAACCGGATGTGAACGGGACAAAGCCCCGTCACAAAATGACCATTAACTTTCTTTACAAATGTTTCCGACACACGTGTTCCGGTCGAAAAATAAAATAATAATTAAAGTGCTCTATTTTTCGTCCAATAAAAATGCTTCCCTCCTAATTATACTCGCTTCGTTTCTCGAGCCTGTTAAGCCATAAATAAACGCTATAAAAGGGGTCACACGGAAGTTCAACAGGCAGTCAACAGGTGGACCTCTGAACCGACTGTCCGGTTAAACACTCTTCCTACGGGCGGGAGGAACCCGAAGGAGGCTACGCCGAAGGGCGGAGTCTCCTTCGGGGAGGTAAAACCGGCCCTGAACCCGTTTATACGGGTTCAAATGGGCTATTTTTTGGCCGAGCCAAATGGCTCGGGAATGCCCACGTTAAAAAGGCCTTATGCAACATGACACCCTCGTGGGGGGGTGACTGAATATTGTCAACAGGTGGCCACAAGGGAGACCTGTTACGGTCAGGCCGAGCGTTCACCAACCACCGTCAACATGTGCGTTCACCAACCACCGTCAACATGTGTGAACTACTATGAGAGATCGACCAGATCCGAAAACCGGCTTATGAACTTTACCACAAGGTATCTGTCCCAAACCCTCACGTTCCTGTTGAAATAAACCACGTAAATCTATTTCTGCTGTTGTCGTATTTCTTTCTTGCAACCATACGCTTGTCTATAACACTGGTGTCAGAAGCGTACAGCAAGAGAAATATGGCTGACTACACGAGCTTCACCCAAGCCGAACTATTTACTCTCATCAAGGAACAGAAAACATTACTATTCAACTTGAAAACGGGACCAACACAGCCTTCTGAAGCCACGATACAGGAAATTCAAGCCGATATAAACGACATGCTGACTGCCCTAAAATCAACTACTTCAACACCTCCCACTGCTCAAACAAACGTCGATTACAGCTCAATGATGCGCCAACAAACTATACGCGACACATTGAAGCTAGAGAAAACTTTTCACCCTGGACACGACGTGAACCGATTCATCACGGCCCTAAACAAAGCATACACAATCCACGTCACGCCAGAACTCAGCACCTATCCCAGCCTGGAATGCGAATTCGTCAAGTCTGCTAAAGATTTACTGGACCAAAGTATTTTTCAGCAAATGGTTGACTCAAAAAAGGACATATCCACCTTCGAACAACTGAAGGAATACGTAGATACCGAAATTAAGCGTATGGCTGATGAAGGTATCATTGAAAACTGCAGCGACCCCAAAGGCTTCAATAGCCCTGTATTTGCCGTACGCAAGAAAAACGGATCGATTCGTGTCGTTGCTAACTTTAAAAGAACTCTCAACAAGGTCTTAGTCGATCTTGACCCTTACCCAATGCCAAGGATCGACCACTTGTTCAACAAAATCGGCAAAGGCAATAGATATTTTACTACCCTTGATCTACGCAGCGGCTACTGGCAAATTGAGATCGACAAGCGAGACCGATACAAAACAGCATTTACATGGAAGGACCAATGCTATCAATACACGCGCCTGGCCTTCGGCCTTACATCTGCCGGACAAATCTTCTCCCGTTGCATAGCAGAAGCATTAGCCACGGTCACATCCCGTGACAACATTTCCTCCTATATCGACGACAACCTGGTCCACGCTAGGACATTTAGGGATTACATACTCTCCCTCGAACAATTTTTTACTGCCCTCCGAAAATTCGGACTCAAGCTGAATCCCGATAAATGTTCCTTCCTCGCATCAGAGGCAAAATTCCTCGGACGCATAGTAAACAGCGAAGGATTCAAGGCTGATCCAGAATACATTCGTGCCATCCAGGAAATGAAACCTCCAACATCAAAAAAGGAATTACAAAGCCTTATCGGCCGTTTAGTGTGGATCAGACAATTCCTAGAGACACGTCTTCACGAACAAATCAGGTCAGATATGTTTTCAAAATTTATGGGTCCCATACACGAACTCAACAAGGTTAATAAACCGTTTGTCTGGACGCAAAATGCCGACAGAGTCTTCAAAAAAATCAAGGACCGTCTCTCTTCACGACCTGTCATCTCGTTTCCAGATTTCTCCAAACTTTTCACACTCTCCTCCGACGCCAGTGACGTCGCATGTGGAGCAATCTTAATGCAAGAAGCCGACAACGGGAAGAAAGATATCATAGCGGTCGCTTCCCATACATTCAACTCCACGGAACAGAACTGGTCCACGACGGAAAGAGAGGCATATGCAATAAAGTGGGCAATATTGAAATTTGATTATTTCCTTCGCAACCGCCCTTCGTCATCTTCACCGACCACAGATCGCTGACATATCTGGACCAACGAGAGTTCAATAATGCCAAAATACGACGATAGCAAGAAGAAATTTCATGTTATAAATTCGTCTTGGAATATGTTGAAGGCGAATCAAATGTATGGGCTGACATGCTCAGCAGAGGTTGCGGACATAAGAAAACGAAAGCCCCGAACAACCCTACACCGGCAGGCAGGACATTCGAGGTAAGCGGTTCAGACCTCCGCGTATACATCCCATCTTGGTGCCTCGGCGAGTTTAACGGTTTACAGCTCATTCCCAAAATTCACACACCACAAAACGCCCGCACCCACAAGCGCGTCACCAACGCATTTTTTCGCCTATCACTCCACCACCACCATCCCCACTGAGAGAATCTGCAACCACCTCGGCATCGCAGATGAACAACTGAAGGACGACGCCCTGGCAAAGATCATCAGCGCCCTCCAGGCACCCACCCCAAGCGAACCTCATATCGATCCTGACGACCACCGAGCTACGCTTTTCAAAAAACATTTTCACCAATTTTTTCTAGAACCAGGCATCTCCGTTTTGATGATAAGAGACAGTAAGCACTCTCCGAGATTGGTTGTACCATACAAACTACGACCCAGATACCTCTACCAGGCACACGAGGGCAACAACCACTCAGGTGTCACCCGTATGCGAGAACTCCTTTCCAGCTACTGGTGGGAATTCAAAAACCGCGACATCAAGGCCTATGTCGATTCTTGCGACACGTGTGCTAAGTGCAAGGGAAACTACGGTAGACGTACCTACTGGCCCATTGGCCACTGCAAACAAAGAAAGAGACCATTCAATCTCGTCTTTATAGACTTTGTCACAATGCCCAACTCAAAGGGAAAACGTTAC